GCCTTGTGGGTTTCCCCGCCCCGAGGGGCGGGGCGTGGCCGAGCCGCGGCCATGTCGGAAGTCCCCGCCCCACGCAGCCCCGGGGAGCGCCGGTAACCCCGCCCCGGGCGGTCGTGCGGCTGCTGCGGGAAGGGGCCCGCTCCGAGGGACGGCCCAGCCCTGCCCGCTAACCCTCACCACTCCGCGGCTGGCACAGGAAGCGGCCGCAGCCTCCTCTGCCCACCTGCTTCTAATACAGCTCTCTTGCGGGAGATCCTACACCTCAAATGCTGGGGCAAACTGACTCCGAAAACGTTCCTGACCCTTATCGCTACTGCCTGCAACTGGTTGCACATTTAGCTTATAGGATTTCCTAAATCTTACAACATAACCTGCAAAAAAGTTGCTTTAAATTGAAATCTTTTGCTAATTATACAGTCAACTAAGTAGCTGTCTCAGCAGAAACAGAGCAAAAAAAAAGAATATAAAAATCAGTGCACTGCACAAAATTTAACACTTGAGAGGTTCTGTGGCCAAATAAAAAAAGTACAGGCATCCAGGTGAATTTTCAGAAGTCTCGAAGATGATTGGCAGTGGGTTTGTGGGAAGAAGATCTCAAATAGGGCTAACTTTGCATGCTACTGCAGGTATTTTTAACTGCTCCAGAGGAGGAAGAGCCAAAAAAGCAGGAAGATTGGGGGAAGAGTGCAAACACACAGCTAAGCCGACAGTTTATGCTAGAGCTTAAAAGTGGGAACAATAGTTGCAGAATGGCTTGGTGACAGCAATATCAGCTTTGACACCCCTTGACAGGCATTCATGTTCCTGCATGATCCATCCCACTCTTCACTCTTTCACTGAAAGCGAACAGAGCTCACAGTGTGAAAGACTGTGTGCAGGGGAACACCCAGGACTTAATCTTTAAGAAGCAAGCTACTGCTTGTTACAAATAAACTGACAACGAAAAAAAAATGCCTTTACCTCCCTGGAATCTTGCGTAGCGTTACTGTGCTGTCTGTCTGCCATTCTCCACTTTAGCAATTACTGAAATGCAGCCATCTCTATCTTGATCCCTATGAGTTTATGCACTACAATACAATTAAAATATTATCATTTTAAAATGTATTCTATTCAATACTGCAAAAAGACATCTTAGCCACTTCTGGCCAGCAGCAGGGGAAATAAAACACCTCAATGCATTTATAAGCAAATTTATTTAGCTTTCTTATATGATATATATTGAGATATATATATATGAAATATATCCACAAGTTATTACAAAAGTGTCCAAACACAAGTTCTAGCACAGTACAGTAAAAAGTGGTATTCTGGGAAGAATATCTGAGATCTACAGTATCTTGGCTTCAAGTGGAAGTATTTCCATTAGACATTGTAGGCAGAAGAGGACACATTTCCTCCATGGCCTGTCCAGTTAGTATGGACAAACGCACCTGGGTTGGATAACAATTCATATGTATGTGCACCGAAGTAATCACGCTGAGCCTGGAATAAGAACACAGACACACACAAAACAGATACATGAATACCACAGTCATATGAGTACTAGCAGTCACACGTACTGATACTTGACTACAGGCATACTAGAAATAAGGTCTGACTTCAATATTGTAACATTCAAAGTTATTTTCTCATTATTAGCAATATCACTATAATTAAGCACTTACTAATATCTAGTAATTAAGAGTTCTATAGGAAGAAATTATTTCTCCTGGGTACTATTCTTAAAACCAAGCACTTGCATACATCCAAAGGTTCAAAGATACTTCTTTATAAAGCATTTTGATTCAAATACATCATTACCCTTGGTTCACAGAATTATAACAGAATGATATTAGGCAATCTATGCCTTTAACTTTACAACGTTGGAGTGATTAGGACATACTGCCATCATGGCCTTTAGACCAGTATTTAAACACCACCACAATGATATTTCAGTAGCCAGAAGATCTGCTACACTATTTCAGGCACCTACCTGAATCAGGTTAGCTGGTAATACTTGATGCCTGTACCCATCATAAAAAGAAAGTGCTGTAGTGAAGCAGGGCATAGGGATACCAATCTGTACCCCAGTACTGATTACACGTCGCCAGGAGTCCTGGGAGAGAGGAAACGGGGGCAGGGAAGAAGAAAGAAAGAAAATAATCAGCACTGGCTCAGAGGTGTGTGCAGGCATACAATATATTCTAGTATAATAGCATGTGCTATTTCATGTTATAAGGAATCTAATGACCAAGACTGAGCAAATGCAGCAATAGATTACTGATTTTACAAAAACAAGGTTGATCCAAAATAACGGCAAGTAAGATACAGTTAACAAACAGGACAGTAAAAGTGCAGACATACTTCACATGCAGTTAAACCAGAGCCTCAAGTAAGAATGCTGTTCTTTCACATAAACATAATCAGTGCATTCCAGAAGCATGGACACAGCAGGGAACATACTGAGCAAACACTGAGGAGCTTTCAGGACGTCTCATCAAGCACAATACAAAGCCCACCCAAGGGCATAAGAGGTCAGCACAATACTTCAGACAGACATGTGTATAATCCTCATTTCAACTGTACATCTGATTTAGTACCCTACATGGAATATTCAGCTTCAGTTGAAAAAATTATTAATGACGATATACGACATCTTTGTTGGTCAGATAATCTGGTCTTAGTTCTGCCTGTCAACTCCATCCAGATCAGGACACTGTTTGGACAGACCTAGGTCTAATGAATGGCGGGTCTGAAACACTGTTATTTTGGTCCCACTGCAAACAATGGTAACAGAACAGAGCTTTACACTCTGTACAACTGAGATCCAAGGGCACAGTATGCACTACAAGGCAGTGCTGAGAACGTTCACACAGGCCTGACATTTTTTCCTGACATTCTGGTGGCTCTGAATTACGAGATTTCTGCCGAAGGCTCTTCTGTAATAGTAAAATGGAAACCTTAAGTTTCTAATAGTAGCTTGGCTAGTATCAAAGACAAGAACTATGACACAACAAGGACTATACGATTTGCTCCTGTATTATCTTTAGGCTGATGGCACAAATATAACTTGAGACCTCGGTTCATTGCTCAATGTATCTGGATGCTGATTTATAAAAGTAGTGCTTCAGTGATGCAAATCCCTTTTTTTCTTCATTTAGAACTAACATTCTCCAACTTTCTGAAGAAACAGAGGCAAGATGCATTTGTAGGCGTATTTTCAAGGACAGGTCACTAACCCTGGTGCCTGGGAAAATTCTAATTTGGACCTCAGTATAGCCTGCCTCATCACAGTAACTTACTTGTTCAATTCCAACCAGCTCCAACCATGCAGTTTATTTCCTGTCCTGATCCTGTAAGACTGATGTAGGTTTCAAGGATGTTCTCTACGTTTTCATTTTCCAGTCTAAATATACCTGTGAAGGTAACTCCTGGGAAAGCAGGTGAAGGAGTCCAGACTGTAAACTATTGTTTTTATGCTCTTCCTTCCTTGAAAACTCACCTGACAGTTTTCAACAGCTTTCTTAAAGAATTCATCCAACAGCAAATTCTGGAGCCCAGGGTTTCGATCAAATGCATCTTTGATTTTTCCCAGGAACACACTAGGCAGAACACAGGCAAACCAGGAATAAAATCTCACAGCTTCCAACAAATGCCCAGAATCCAAACCTTACAGTGCTAAAATTTGACTCAGCTAAACTCAGACTCCAAACACTGATGCAAACAAAGCTACTGCAGATTTTCTTTGGTTAAGTCCCCAGAAAACTGGCTTCATGCGGTAACTTCTAGCGCCGTCTACAGAAACAGCCTCTCAGTATCTTAGCAGCAGACTAACACCATAGAATTTCCAAGAAAATCTCTAGACTTCTCAGTCTAGCACCACATAAACTAAATTGCTGGCTCTTCTCCCCTCAGCAACTAAATCACCTCCTCATTTTAATTACCTTCTGATGATGCAGCCTCCCCTCCACATCAGTGCAATGCCACCGTAATTCAGTGTCCAGCCAAATTCTTTGGCTGCTTGTCTCAGCAGCATGAAGCCTTGAGCATATGAGATAATCTTGGAAGCATATAAAGCCTAAAAAACAACCAAATTCATATTCCAAGTGAAGTCCCACAAAGTTGAACAAGAAACTTCACAGACTACACGCTCTGTTTAGTCCACATCTCATCAGGGTTGAGTACAGCAGCCACATCCCAGCTATCTGAGAACCAAAATATCCTTTTCAATTCTCAGAAAGTTTGGTCTCCACAGAGAGAGATCAAGAGGTATTATCCCCATTACAAAGACAGGTGTTGAGGGATGAAAAATTAAGCTCCTGTGCATCAATTAGGACCTCAGCACACCAGCGAGTTGTCACTACTGCCCACCATAGCTTAGATTTTAATTCCTTCAAGACTGTTTTTCGGTCAGGAATTGGTCACATTGTGCTTTGTGGACACCACCAGACATTGCACAATGGGATGGCTGAAAGCAGGAACCAACTGCCATGAAATGTAAACACACAAGCTCCTCACCAGGGTTTACAGCATTCAAAACCTGCCTTGATATGCAGCTTTAATACAGTGCTCGGGCAAGCACAGTCACTCACCTTGCGTATGTCCTCCAGAAAGGCCTTCTTGTTCCCACCAAAATGAGTATTCTTAGGCCCATCCAGCAGCTTACTGGCCTGTACTCTCTCATCCTTGAGGGAAGACAGGCACCGTGCAAACACAGCTTCACCTTTAAGTATGGTAGAAAAGGGCAGATAATTAGAAAGTTCAGCACCCCTGTTAAGATCCGAGATACTTGTCCCCAGGCACACAGCAAGAGCACCACCGAGTGATGAGCCACATACACAGTGAAACAGTCACACGGGAAGAGAGGTGTACAAAGTAATTATTTCAGCACCGTTACTGAGGGACCAAACTGCCAGGCAATATAACCATTGGGTAAATATTGACTGATACAGCTTTCAAATTATAAAGGGAAAAAAAAAAGCCACAAGTCATCCACATGAAAATTTATCCTCGGGAACCTTCATCAGCTCTTAGTTTAAAGAATTTTAACTCTCTTGCTATCTATAAAGACAGA